CCAGAGGCAGGGTAAAATCTACAATTGAGCCACACTCCAGTCTAAGATCACCACCCTAGTTGACAGAAGTAAGGACCCGGTAAGGTGAGTGAAAGCAGGTCAAAGAATACAATAGACTGTTCCGTCTTGAATTCGTCGAGCTTACATCCGTGCCGAGAACCTTGAGGAGGCCTTAGACTTTGAGGGATCGTACAAAAGGACCTTTGTGGCCACAGCCATGTGTCACAATTCACGACCTCATGCACCCTAGGCCAAGCACTTTTGCTCCAAAAGGAATCACAGCTTACAAACTGAAATATAGTTAGAGGTATCGAAAACTTCCCAAGAACAGATCGGCCTCGTTGATCATTTTGTCCAGGTGAGCTTCCACGTGGTCCTGCCAGGCCGTTGGGTGTCGGGAAGCGCTTTTGGAGCCTGAGTGCAGACCTCGTTGCCGACTTTGACCTGCCTGTTGCTGACATCGACCGACGACTCCGATGACCTGTCTCACGTTACCGAACCAGTGCATTGCACTGCAGTGGCTATGCCAGCACATCTGCACCTGGACAGCTTGCTGAAGCCCTGGAGGCAAGTCCATAATCTTTGAAAGGACCTCAATCAGAGGACTGTACGCGTTGTATCCCAGAAGGGCTGGCTATTCACCGCTTAGGCTGGCACATGACCGTCACACAGAGCCAGCATCAGGCTTGGCTACTCGATAACATCCCTGATCAGGCTGTTTCACCCTAGAGCCTTGGCACAGGTTCATTTGTATGTTTGCCAAGGCATCAACCGCGAGAACCCAGAGCTGCATGATCTGCAGGTGTCGCTTCTCCATCCGGGTTCTGTGTGAGGAAATGCATCCTATGATTATCCTTGCAGCAATCTGACACGGCTTGTCAGCTAGACAGTAACATACTGTTGCTGCAAAAGTCCTTAGTGCCATAATTGCCTTCCACAAGATTCGGCGAAGTGCACACTGCAGCGACAAGTTTGCAGTCTGCAGTGTCAAGGATGCGCAGGACCGCTTGTCTCGAAACCTCTCTCGTACGTCACGGATTTGTTTCAGGCTGGCGAGCAAGCGTTGCTGCACATAGAACCTGTCTACCGCCAGGCTCCCGGTCGCGGGAGGACGATGGAAGGACAATTACCTGATCTTTGCAGGCTGTACCCACAACTCGAGACTAAACATGCGCTAAGTCAGACATCGAGGCTTCGCGAATCAGAGCTCTCGCCGAATGTTTGGCCGTGGCGACCTAGGCAGAGAATCAGTGCGCAATGCTTCCAGCTTACACTACTCAGTGTCTGTGTGTAGTTTTGGCTTTGGGGTAAGTGTGCATGAAAACAGGTTCGAGACAGACATCAAAAAGCTGCTACTGTGTTCAGGCTACGGGCATGCATTTCCTTGCTGGATCTCGAACTCGCGTCTGAGGTAGCAGGGAGTTCTGGCAAGGTGAGTATAGTGCTGTAGCTTGGTCACCAGCATGAGGATAGCATGAGGTATTGCATCTGCAATCGTTTGTTGATGCACCCGTTTGGAGCCCAGGTTCGACGTTCGACCCCAGGCAAACCCCTTTGCTCTCTGTCACTGGAAAAGAAGGATGCCACCTGTAGTGACCGTTTCAATCGCCAACATGTTGTGGTCATCGTTGCAAACATGCGTGTTCCTCAGTTCTGAACCAATCTGATACACTCGCCATGCAGGCACACACACACACAGACGCACACACGCACATCCCGCACAGTGAAGTTCACCAACGTCGCACCAAAGCTGACTGAACTCCCTCAGCCTTCCTCCCTGCGCACCTTCGGATTGGAGATGCATCCGACTCACTCGAAATTGCACTGCCAGCGCCAGCAGCTGCCCGCGCCTGCGGGCACAGCAAGTGACGCTCCGATGGTCCGACTCTCCGTGCGACCGCCCCCAAGCCCGGGCCCGCCCCCGGTTAAGATCCGCACAGCCCGAAGCTGTGCAAAGCGTGAAGCCATCTGGCGCCGGAGCTCCTGCGGCTGAGGCGGTTGGAAGCTAAAGCCGGAGATGTTTGGAGTGTCTGAACCGAACTCCGAACTCCTCCTTCTCTCCATCGGTCTCCTGCGATGCCGCGTGCGGGGGGGGGGGGGGGGGGGAGGCTCACGTTTAGTTTTGTTGGTTTGGGGATTTGGGGGCTAGACGCGAAGGTCAGGCGAATCCCCACTTCACGAGGAACCGTGCGCAGACCTGGCTCAGAATAAACTTTCAACGCGAGAGGGCCACGCAACTCTCTGTGGGTTTGCTCTACAAAAATGTCATCGCCAGAAACTTCCAGAAGGCTGTAGCTGCCAGGCCGTTCTGCAGAATATGCATGCGGGATATTATTAAAAAGATGGGTTCTGCGAACCGCGAGGGCACAAGCGAAGTCATGACGACGCTAGGAGCCCATGGGGAACCGTGCACTGCGAAGGAGGCTGCTGACAGCTGATGCTACCCCTAGGGTGCGCACAAGGATCCGGGAACTGTGCCTTGCATGGGGGTCTCGCAGTCGCAAGAGCAGGCTCGGACGAATGCAGCGCATGGTGCAGCCCCAAAAATTGGGAATCGCATGCATGCAGGTGCACTGCATTGCACTGCGTCCTCTACTTCCTAACGCTCCCTACCGCGCAGGCCTTCTTCTTCCACAGACCCATCCGTCGTAGCCGTGATGCTGGTCTTTGTCAATGTTTGTGTCGCGAGGTCGGGTTTCGAGGGCTCGTCGGCACTTCGTGCAGCGCTGGTCCAGAGGTGACCTGTGCTTCTGAGACTCTGAACAGCGCTTCTGAAGACTTTCCGTAACGGTAGCTGCAAGCTGGTGGGGCGTGGTTTCTTCGGCGGCGCAGTCCGAGGCTGCCGAGGCTCTCAGAGCAGTTGGCGCCAGGGTCCAATTCCACATGATGCAATTGAGGCCCTTCAGGGAGCGGCTGGGCTTCCGTGCCAGCCCATTGGGGGGAGAATGAACCAAATCGTAACGTCGCTTGCTGGATTGGCTGATGAGCACGAATAGCTCCCAGCACTCAGTGCGGCCGGAACCTCGAAGTAATCTTCCTATGTGGAACACAGTCCACCCAAGGCATCACGACCGAAAGTCGCAACTGACACCCGCCTGAGATGCCTGGGTGCATTGCTCTGACTGTGAGACCCAAGCAGTTCTTGGAGTCAGGGTCCCAACTTCTCACAATCACACTTTGTTCTGCTTTGCAGAGGAAGCAGCCCTGAGCAAACATAATTTCAGATTCTCGGATTTGAAAAGCTGTCGGCAGTTCCTCGTCATCGCTCTCCACCATGTGTTTCTCCTCAAAACTAGTAGTATGCCCTTCCAGTTCCAGTAGTTCAACACAACAAAGGCTGAGACCCAAGCGCAGACCCAAGCACCAAACCTGCTGCGAGCCTTGATGACCTGCGGGAATCATGCTGGCTGTACCATAGCTCCAGTGCAGCATTGCAGTCCGACGGGGAGGCATTCCGAACAATCGTGGCCTTGCGCAGCTCCTGCTGCTCGACTTTGAGGGCCTGACCGACACAAATGCAGCGGTTCCACAAAGACTATACAGGCAGAACCCTCTTACAAGCTCGGCCCTGTCGGGGTTTAGGGCTCCATGCCAAGAATCCGTCACTCTCAAGACATCACATGACTCTCAAGCCGGGTACGGGCCCTCTTCTCCGCATCCGGGCTGTGCACCGCCTCGTCCCAACGTTGGCCAAGCTTGGATTAATGTGCAATGTTCGCAACGAGCTGGTCGCCCCTACGTGCAGCTATGCTCTACAAAATGCACGCCTGCATGGATCGCAGCTTCTCCTGGTGTGCGTGAGGGCTGCAGAGCAACTTGGCAAAAGGCAGCGCGTGTCTCTCTCGAAATTCCTCAAAGCTCTCCAACTAGTTTTGAGCTCCGTAACAAGCGCGTTACCAGCTGCCTTGCCTAGATGCTCGTACCATTGAAGGCAACGGCGATAATGCCAAACTTGTATCTACTTCTGAAGCCAGCGAGGTGAACACGATGGTCACGACATACTGCTGCGTCGCAGGATACAAAGGTGGAAAAGTCAGAAAGCATAAAGGTGTGCGATGCATACCCGTGGCTACTTCGTAGCCAGCTCTCTCGCGAGCCACTAATGACAGTCCGTGGCTCTCTGAGTCATTGAGGGACCACGAGGTGACAACAATACGCAGTGACCTATCCAACCTTTTGCAACCTCGGCTCCAGCCCAGCCTTACGGCAGGACCCAACCCTAAGAGGGACAGGCCCAACACTCCCGCCCCTCCAAAATCACAAGCGTCAGGGCCTCGCCGGTTTCCTTGCACAAGCCTCCCATCCCTTACTAAATCCCACTGCTGCGCGGGGGGAGCCCATCATGCAGTCCTCCCGCTCACAGCTAGCTCATGCAGGACAGGTTTGAACTAGTGACATGAGCTAAGTCAATGGAGATAGATAGCCTTCGTGTGTCCCAGCAGACCCCGTGCCAACCACAAGAAACTGAAACAACTAGGGGTTGGTGTCATGTAAAGTCTACTTCCAGCCTTCAGCTCTTCCACCCTGAGCTCGAGTGCCTCATACGCGCTGCATGGATGAGCTCAAATCTTATTTTCAGTAGGCCAGGCAGACCTGTCTTTCTTCTTCCCATCGCTCTCGTTCCTCTTGCACCTCGGATAGGCGAACTGCAACATGGGTGCAGGATGGGGAACTCCGAACTCCGTGCCAAGCCACTAAAGCCACGATGGAATCGACAGACATGTGGCCCTGGAAGGCAGGACTCACATGAGGACCATCTTCGGAATTATGAGCTGAGCGTGCCAGTTTTACAGACATCAAAGTCAATTTGTCCCGATGCCCCCCCTTCAAACACGTAAATGCTTCATTCCTCTGTTTATTCGATCTGCCCACGTCCTTCTTCGCAGCAGCTTCAGCAGCCAGATTTTCGCCAACATCCAAAGCATCCGCACGCCTTGAAAACATGTTCGAGCGACAAGTCTTGGCCGCCCGAATGCATGATGGGTCCGGATTGGCGGCTACTTTCCACTGAAAGCGTGGTTCGGGGCGTTCAAACGAAACAACATAAGACGAAGATTACGCTCAAACCCAAACAAACAAACCTACATACGGCATGCAATGCTTTGGTGCCCCCTATAGGCCCTAGGTGCGTCTGTTGGAGTTGTGGCATCTTCAACTGAGGGCTGCACCAGTTCATCGAAGACGCGTCGCTTTTCTTGCCAATAGACGATGTATCACTGCCTTGAGTCAAGGGGTGACACCGCCAACAGGACGAGGCATGCTGGGTCGAAGACCGGCTTCCTTCTGAAGGTCCTGCATCCCAGAAACGCGGCAATAAACAGCAAAATCGATCAAATCATGCAGTCCTCGTCCTCCTCACCTGGCGTGTCCAATGCATGGAGCTGCCTCAAATCGAAACTGATTCCACACGAACTGCAATGCAGACTTAGAAGGAGTGACTCCTTTCTTGCGGGCAGTGCCGCGAACGGTGTGCTCGATGCATTCAATCTACGGCAACCGCCGCGACACAGGCCACGGTACTCTTTGCCGGTAGCATAGCCATAAGGTTCAACAGGTGCCGAGGTGCAAAACACCACCAATGCTTCCCTCAATGACTCACATTATCAGTTGCCACCAGACCGAACGGAACGAGTTGGTTCTGCATCCGATCTGTGCATTCTGCTTCTTGGTTTTCCACAGGACTTCTGATTGAACTCCTGCTGTCGGTCAGTGTGTTCAGGAGACTCCTGCGGAACTCTGGATCACAAGCCAGATTCAAGCATAAATGGAGTTTACTGGACATTGCCCACGGCGTGGCTGCAGAAGGTGATTGGCTGCCGTGGTCCTTTCTTCAGACTCTGGTGTAGTCGTTGCAAAATACTGTGGCCTGTTGTTTTGTCGTGTGCTTCCTCAAGAAACTGATTGCGTGTTTGGGGACCTCTTCGTTTGAGTCGCCAAGGTCAGGATGTCTCTCCGGTACCGCAGGAATGCCTCGGGAGTCATCTGCTGCTGGACTGGGTGGGGCCTGAGGCAGCGTTTGCATAATAGTGTTATGTTTTTTCTCGTAGAAGTGTTGCGCAAGTGGCATGAGCTTAGGACACATAGCACACGGGAACCAACGATTGTTCTTGAAGAGAATCATCCGGCAACGGATGAGGGTTGTAACAGGAACCAGCGCGCAACGTGACGGGAACCACATTCGAGGGAACCGACCCCGACGTAACAGGAACCAGGGGGAATGTGACTTGAACATACTTGACCTGGGTTGGGGCTAGTAACTGTAAGCAGTGGGAGTTGCAACGGAAACCAGCCGGACAGCGAAACCCAAACCGGGTTTTGGGTCGAGACTTTAACTTACTTAGCTTACTTACTCTTAGAGTCTTAGAGAGCCCTTCGAACTCCTCTTTGAAGCAGAGCCCTTCAAAGCCCTTATACGCCTTTCGAAGCCTGTCATACGCTCTCCTGTACCTTTAAAAGCACTTACAACCCTAATAAAGCCCTTATAAACTTACAAGGGCACCGTGTAAGCCCTTTATAAGTCCTTTAAAAGGTTTACAAGCCATTATAAATCTCCACCCTAAATGGACCCCAAACCCTAAAGCCCTGTTTCTTCAACCCTGAACCCTAAGACAAAAACCTTGCCTCTCCTCTTCCTGTCCCTTTCCTCTTGCTGTCCTCTTCCTCTCCTCGCCCGAAACCCGAAACCCTCTTCCCTAAATCCAGACATCCACCACACTCCTCCCCAGAACCCCCTCTTCCCTACACCGCCAACCCTATACCCTACATCCTCAACCCTAAACCCTAACCCACAATGATCCCCAATTAAACTCCTAACCTTGAAAAGTCATGGTTTCCATGAGGGTTTGCTGCAAAACTATGGCTAACCATTGTTCGAAACCCCCTGAACCCTCAAGTGCGTAATAAGAGGCGATTGCAGGGCACGTGTTAAAGTCAGAGAAGCAGTCCTGTTACAAGCCTCCCCGGTTACTGTTACAGGCCTCCTCCCAGTTCCTACTACAGCGGGCCGAGCCGGTTCCTGAAACAAAGTTTCCTGTTACAACCCTCTGGTTCAGGTTACTGCATTTACTCTCCGGATTTCGCATGGCGCCGACCAAATTTCTATAGTGCGGCAGTGCCAAGGGCTCGTGATTTGGTGCCAGTTGTCGGGGGTGGACTTCTTTGTGACTCTGAGGAAGCTCTTCATGGGCAGCTTCGGCGAACGCGCGAGCAAACTGTTGCAGGTTTAGCGGGAGCTGCTCCACCGCCATCCCAGGACGGCACCAGGTGGAGGGGACTGGGAGAAGAGCGAGTGCTGTCCATCTTCGATTTGCACGGTCAACGCAGGTGAACGCCCGTGCGGGGGGCCTTCCAGAGCTGAGGCCGAAGTCTTGGGTGGGGAGGTGTGTTTTTTGCTTGCTTGCTCTCTCTCCTTTTGGCTTTGGTTGCACAGTAACACCACCTGAAGGACATCTACTCCCCGCGTCAGTCCTAAAGTTCACCCACCAAAACTCACAGGCTCACCCACGGGGACTCACAGGCTGCGGATGGCTTTAACAGGTCCATGTCGTTCATGACTCGGAATGGTTCTGGGCTGCCGTGACCGCATTCACAACCGCATTGCCGAGACTCAGGCCCCTCGAAGGTGATACGGCTCGCTTTGCGAGGTTGCTTCATGCTACCATCCTGCACACACGGACACTGGAACCACGCCGGCTGCCCTGCGGTCTGCTGTCCCTTAGGGATGTTCGGCGGGACATAGGTGGCGAGTCTGAGTTGTCGCTCGCGACTTCCTGACATGCTCGCAGTCCAGATGCCCTGCTCGGCCTAGAATGAGACTGGCCGGGATGACACTCGCTGCTGCACTGACCACGGTTGAAGTTGCTGGCGTGTCTGCGTCCTGTTCACAGGACATCACGGTGGAATACCGCAAGTCATCATCCCAAGCTCACGCCTCCAGTGGTGTCACCAAGCATGAGGGTGTCAGTGCCCCACCGATTCCGGCCCTGCCGCTTCGAATACAAGGAACACTGAACACTCGATAGCCCGTCTCATAAGGATCGCACATGGAAGTTGTCCATCGCCTCCAGATACTAGGTGCGGCAGGCAACTACGGGAGCTGGATCTGAAACGGATGCTGGGAGCCTTTTATCGGGTCGGCGTATGGGGCGAAGATCCTGTTACGGACATGCTCTGCTCCGAAGTTCGCCACTAAGTCAAGCGAGTGACTGTTTGTGAGCTCCTGCGAACCGGTGCCTAACCATTCTGCAGACCTGGGCAGGGAGTCCAAACCAGGACCGGTCTCGAAACTGAGCTTCTAAGCACCGGGCTTCTCCGCCTTTTCCGAGTCTGGCTGAGCCTGCAAAGCCAAAGCCCCGCCACTTCCGCCCGCTGCGGCCCCGGCTCTTGCAGCACAAGGCCCGAGCAGAGACCGCACGCTGGAAATTGGTGAGGAGGTCCTCCGAATCTTCGCTCTTCTGCACCTGGCGCTAGAGTCTAGAGTCTAGAGCGCCAGAAGGGATCAGCTGCAAGCGCGCACCTTCTTAAGCCTCTCCACTGCACCCTCCAGCTCGTGCAGGACTGCCTCCTTTGCGGACGAAACATGGCATCGGCTCAGACCTGGACTTCGCTGTTGAGCATTGCATGCGCCATCGCGTGCCACGTGCTCGGACAAAGTCCTGCAATGTCGCCACTTGTGCCTTCATCGCCTCTCTGACCTCGCGCGAGTTCACGAGCTCACTAGCTCACGGAGGGGGTGTCTCTGAGCTGCAGGCTATGCTTTCCAGTGGCATGTCCGGCTGTGTGGGGAGATTCAATGTTCCTGAGCAGCGTTGGAGTTGCGAGGCCTCACCGACTGCTTGGCTTTCGGTGCGCCTTCCCCGTCTTGCTCGAGTGAGGCCTTGATATGCACGACTGCACGACAGTCAAAGAAAAAGTAGCTCGCAGAACATGGACTTACATGCTCGACGAGCCTCTGGACGAGGCTCCCTGCACTCGGTTCGCCTTGACAGGTAGGATGTCGCAACAAGATCCGGGGCAAGGCCTTGCGAGCTCAACGCTTACGAAAGCATCGGGAAGATGTTGCCTGCATCTGGGTCGCAGGAACGCCCGGAGGCCCATGGCGCAGCCTCCGGTCAAGCTTTCTCCAGCACTCTTCGACAAACAGCAGCTGTAGGGGACAACCAGCAGAGAGTGCTTGCATCCTGCTGGTATGAGTGACGACGCTGACGACGACGATGACGGTGACGACATAGACCATCATGA